GTGTGTGTTTGCATGTTTTGTGCGTGTGTGTTTGTGTGTGAGTGTTTTTGTGAGAGAGCAGTGGCATAGTAAATGGCGGGAAAAAGTTGACAGTGGATAGGACCCTGCATTTTAGGGGCTCTGTGATGGGTATCCCCCTACTCTTCACTTCTGAGATCGCTAAAGTATTTACACTAATACAGTGCTTCTCAAACTTTTTTCACCAAGGACCACCTCAGAAAAAAGTTGTCTCTCCATGTACCACCATAATGACCAGTATTGGAATACAGTAGCGTAGCTGGCCAAGTTAGGCAATTACAGCCAACCCAGGCTCTTTCTGAAAACGTAGTCCCGTGGACGTTTCTGGAGGCCGCGAAATATATCTCGGGAGGTACGTATTTGTGCAATTCTTGTTTTGGCGAATTAACGAGAGGCCGCTGTGTGTGCTTTTTTGCATCTCGAACGTCTCTCGCGAGCGTCGTTCGCACCCGCACCGTTCTCATGTAAACCCACAAGAGGCCGCTGTCGAACGACCGTTTGTCAAATTGGCTGAATGATTGACTGGGTGACCGGCCAATCGGCCGACCCACCCTTCTCCTCCTTCCCTAAACTCAAGCAGTTTTGCCGATTTGACCCGACCGGTACCGGTCCATGGAACTATTGATACTGGGCCAAATAAGAAATCATAAATTATTTTTGTAGAAAATATTCCCCCCGCCACTTGGTTTATTCCACTCACCCCCGCCATCTCACGTGAAATGGACTATGCCAAAATCCACCACGGAGCAGGAAGAACGTAGTGGTTGTTGATAGTTTAGAGTATAGAATCCGAGTCAGCAGAGCATTTAAGGATTGTGCATATATGTGTGCGTGCATCGCTAAGTAAGAACCCGAAATCATTGCAATATGTATCTATATGGAGTTTCACATAATCATGCTCATTAGGGCTGTAACATGCCAATGAATACATTTAATTCGGCTATACGGTTGTGTTATTGTTAATATGTTCGTCAGTTGAAATGTTTGGCACAGATGTTATGTATTTGGGCATATAAACCTTGATTGAAACATAATCAGACCGCGATAGTGCAACTAGCGCATGCATGAGTTGTTCATGATTAACCTGGATGCACAAGCGCAGCAGCTGTGTTCACGTGAACACCGGTCCGTTGTAAAATTGACAAACGTTGACCGGTCCGCGGTGATAAAAAGGTTGGGGAGCACTGCTCTACGGCAGACAAACAGCCCTAACCCAAAGCCTGGTTTATACTTCTTCTGTCGAGTGATCGGCGTGACCCACAGTGCATGCAGTGCGCGTAGCCGTGCATTTATGCTTCTGCGCGCTGTTTGTGTCGCTCTGCATTACACTTCTGAAACACTCGCTGGCAGTAGGTGTTTATGTTCCCCTGTGTCGAGATTCTTCACTGGTGTTTTGTATTTTCTCAACTCTACCTTAATGTACAAGTGGTTCAAACTCGCTCATTTTGAGGCGGGAATCGGCAGACATGCAACAACATTAATCATGAGGTAAACAATACAACAGTTTTTATCTGGAGCTCCTACACGGGACTCAACACTTGTAAACACTCGCTCCAACAGGCTTGCGCAGCTCTCATATCCTAGCCGCTACCAAGCCGACCAATCACAGAGCTTGCACCACACGTCATTGCAAGGTGTAGTTCCATTTTTTGAGAGGTGCGCGTCAGCTCCTTCATGGGACTCGACACTTGTAAACACTCACTTCATAGGGTTCACCATAGACTGTAAAATATATGGACGTAGTATCTGAAGCGTTAGGTTTGTGAAGAACCCGGATGAAGCTACAAGTAGGCGTGGCCCAACTGTCGCCATTTTGTTCGGGAGTCATTGCACCGACTGGGGGATACCAAACAAGGGCAAAGAGGGGGAGCTACAGATGCTAGCATTTTGCTTAGACAAGGCTTGTCCTTTGGGAAAAAACGCTGAATACTCCATTACCTACGACTCGTTTTTGTTCCTGACCACCTGTGCTTGGCTGTAC